TGCAACGAGCGTACAGAGAAACAGGCATTTTACCAGTAATCAGATATATGGCGTATACAACATTGTGGACAACATGGAGAATGATTTCCGGATAAGGAACGACCAAAAAGCTTGGTAAAATACAACCCTTATCAAAAGGGAAAGACTCACTATGGAAAGTCCGATCTGTGCACATTCGAAAGGATCTAATCCAGTATCTTCTCGAGCCTTATTGCTGATGTGTTCAGTGAACTCCTTATTCGGCCAATATACCACGAAAATCACAGCTACCCAATTTACAAAAATTGCTCCATTCACGAAAACTATAATGGATAGGTTCATTGGAGTCATGAAATGTTCGAAGAGATGGTGTCTGAAATAGCGCTTATTGGCGGCCAAGCGAATGGTTCCACTTATGTACGTCTGTTCTCAGCTTCTTTTTCAATTTTCCGGCTTATGGCTATTGAGTTGATGCCGGGAGCTGTTGTGTTGAATGACTAACTAGCTCACTTGCAGACCTGGAGATAACGATAGAGAAAACTGTTGGCGACAAGCAAAATAGAGGTAATAAACACAACAATGAATAAGTCATGAAGATTTGTCCAAACTCCTTTTTGTAAAGCGGTCCTGTTGCAATGAAAACCATAGAAAAGTTATCCTCGATAGCCACCTAAAAATGTAAAAATCTCCAAATGTATTAGTAACACCAGTGGCAAACTAGCGATGGTTGCTCTCAGTGGTAAGTTCGATTCTTCTTTCAAAAGCATTTTCTGTGGGGAGAAGTGCTCCAAAAACTAGACGATCTGAGACTTGTGTTTTTGTAGACTGGGAGTAAGGAATGAATCTTTCTGATCCGAGTGGGAGGGAGGGAGCGGGGGACAAATCTCAGTTCACGAAGTGCCAATGTTTTGAGTAGCGGCATACTTAGCATCATCTTTTCGAACCCACCATTCTAAAGGTCTCACTTTTATGAAAAACCTTTTTTGATCCATTTTGCAAGTCGTAAGTTCCCGTTCTTGCTCACGCAGGCTGGTGTAGTAATCTGGAATCCTAGTCTCCCCCCTCTGGGAGCTATCCCGCTATCTGCTGCTTCAGCAGTAATTGTGGGTGGAGCGGCGCCTACGGGCACTTGCAATAGGTCGCTCCACCTAGTTGACGGCCGCTCCACCTGAAAGCTCAGGGGCTATTCTGCTAGGGTTCCTAGGTTGGTCTAGTCGGGTAGACTTTTGCGGGTGTGAGAGTGAGTGAGAGGTGTGTCGGAAGACCCTTTAAACGTTTCTCGAGGCACACCAAGTTGTCGGATGGTCGTAGGGTGGGCGTGTTTACTGGCACTGGCACAGTGTGAGTGAGGTCATTATTACATGTTCATAGCCAGTCATAGTCCGCTACAGTCACGCTGTCCTTCGCTGGTTTCTGACTCTAAATTTATTTATTTTTGGAATGCGTCCTTAGGATTAATAATAGTTGTGACGAAGGAATCATTTGTTAGTGGATGGGTGGAAACTGCTGAGTTATTTGGTTGTTATTTTATTAAGCTTCCTGTTTAGTGAATGAGAGAAATCGCTGTTTAAAAATGTTCCGCGAGAGATGGTGAACAAGTTTGCCAGTATATGATGCTTTTCAAGACGTATTCCATATCCCGGAGATGGGAAGGGCGTGGTGCGTAATTTGTCGAAACATGGCGTAGGATGGTTCCTTCGTGGGATACTACCATTCGAGGCAAGTGCCATCCTGTCTTGTGGATAATGAAAAGATCACCATTGTCTAGCACTGTGTCACACCTCCTAAAGTGCATCGGCTACCACGTCACAGCCACGCCTACTCTATATTCGGGATATGCAGTTTACACCACAGTTTTTCCGACATCTTAATATTGGCGTTGGGGAGTAATGCACGGTGATGCAAAGCATGATTCGGATAAAGAAAATGAGCCCATCTCAGCTGGGACGTGTTGCACGTCTACTTTGTCTGCAACACTTTCTCGCGGTGGTGGTGCGGCAGTTCATTCACATCCCACAACTCGTGTTTCTAGATGAAAACTTACTGGAACAACAAGAATCAGGCAGGATGAGTAAATGATGTCCTGAATTGCAGTCAGTAGGAAGAAGTACTTGTAGGAATTACAGCTTTCAGTGGACACCGAAAGTACACATATACCAGATAAAGGTTAATGATTATTGATAACGAAGAGAGTGTCTGATATATTGGTTTGAATGCTGGGTTCATCACGGTCAATCCGGTGCTGTAAACGGTGATTCTTCCTGTAAGTAGTGGACGATTACAGTTTCATTCGAGTGTGTACTCAAGTATAGTGAAACACAGTAAGCACGATGGCGTAGGTGGGCGGTTACTGCCAACGTCAAGGGTGGCCTTGTGGCCGAACGTCTTCCTGCAGCTCTTCCACCAATGACGGTGCCAGCAACCGCCCGCCCCAGCCATTTTGCCTACTGCCTTTCAAACTGTTTTAAAACATTTGACGACGCTCTCTTAGAGACACGTTGTACGTTTATCTGCGAAGTGGATCCATGCTATGTGCGAGGTGAACGGATCAACAGCTGCAGAAGAATGCCACTTTTGCTGAATGAAAATGAGGTGGAATGGAGAAAGCGCAGAAGTGAGGTGGAACGGCCTAGTAAAGTGGACGCCATTTGGGTAACCACACAATGTCCACGATGTGTAGCATGTGCGACGATGCCGAGGTGCCGCAGTGGAACGACAGCATGTATATGGACGTCTTAAGTGTACGAGCACAATAGTATCTCAGTCAAATTAAATGAGGCCAAAAGAAGTAATCGGCTAGCTGGGACCCACGGGATAGAGCCCGAAAGGCACCTCTAGCTTACCACCTGACCTTGAGCAGCATCATGTTCCGCATCTTTCGGTGATTTCACGACGAAAAAACCACATTTTTCTCATGCTACGAAGTTGTCATTGACACGACGGGGACTCAGGATGCGCTCAAGAGTCTGAAGTGTACATGCATATTCCTTGAAAGCTTTCTCTTCGCCGCTAGTAGAGAAGCTGTGTGACTGATCTATAAAACACTTGGCAGTACCTGTGTGCTGTCTCAATGCTCCACCCGAGCTGCCGCATGACCAGCCATACGCCTCACCATAGCCAAAGCGCCACTTGTCTGCCCTTTCTCACTTCTGGTGGCTCTCCACCACTGAGTGCCTAATTCCCCTGCGAGATCTTGCTATCGACCAATAGCTGCCACATGAGAATACCGCGGCATGGGTATTGGAGCAGGCATAGTATAATCACTACTCCTCGAGGTCAGCTCTTGTGCATCCCCAGGGGGGAGAATAGCCACGCTGTTGCAAGTGGGACCGTTCACATCGCTCATGAAACGTTTGGGAGTGTCAATTTGTCTCCAAGAAGTAATAATAACTTAGCGAAGGCATGATAGGACTGAAAAGGAGTTGCAGACGCAGCCAAGTCGACTATGCCGCATTTCAGCAGAAATGTAACGGGTGAGACAATGTGACAACACTGAACTTGATAAAGTATTGTTGAATATTTCATACGATAATATTTTGTTGAATTCAATCAACTATACTACGCGTTGTCATACAGCTGTGGTAACAGGGAGCAGCGGACTACGGAAACAAAAAGGAGGACCTTCCAGGTATTCCAGTTTGAGTGACTTCATGCAAAATCAGCAGGCTTAAGTGGAATTAGCTTATTGCTCACAAGACTAAAGGAATTCATCTGAATGGAATGCCACTGAAGTGCTTCTGAAATTGAATGAATTTTGCGCGATTGCACGTCGTAAATAGCAGAGTTCGAAAACAAAAGTACACTGTTCTAATCAACTTACTAGTGACGGAGCAAAAAGAGAAATCCGCCCCAAGTAAAACTTTCCCTCATGAAACTGATAGTGATCACAAGACGTGAAAAAGATGGCTACGACCTGCTGCGAAATGCAAGAGGCTATCAAGCACTGAAGAGCGCGGGATAGAGACCAGAATGCGGCCGGCGTGAGAGCCCATCGGGTATACGCCGGCAGGGGTCTACTTGGCGCCCATAAGGCTGACACCTAACCTTCCTGAGCACTGCTTGCCAATTTTCACGTAGTACAGCCTCTGCGATGGCGTACCTGTTTTCAAGCGGTTCTGGTTTTCTTCAACACGGACCATGTTTTCAGCCCTTACCAGAAATCAAAAGAAGACGATTAGAACCATCTTTGAAAGAGAAGTCCACTTGTATATAATAACACATACCCAGTAAATATTGCACGGCAAAGTTATTACAATTTTAGTACCTGGAATTACCGCTTTGAAATTGAACGGCAGGTGATAGGGGAATAGGCGCTATTTCCCTCAAGAACGATAGCGGACTTTTGCGGAGTCCTGTCAACAGCAAGGGGAACGATACCAACTATATGATACGCAGAATAATCATACCGTTCTCACTTTGGCTACGTACAGTTGACCACGTCGCAATCAGTCAGGTGGTGTCGCTGAGGTGAAATTATTCAACTATTCAGCGTCCAGGTTCGACACTCGATGAATCTTGGCATATTGTGAAGTTTTCTTTGGAATCTTTCTTTGAATCTTTCTTTCTTTGGGGTATTGCTGTAGCCGTAACCAAGATGATACAATAGTTTTATTTGGCTTACGTTTTGGCCTTATCGCCTTCGTCAGAGCCTTGAATGTACGGCAGGTTTTGCTTGAGACCACCGCTGAACTGACTCCCCACGGGTGGCTTCAG